ATTATACCATGAGAATCCCACCTGCTCCACCACCTTCCCATTTCTGTGGTAGTATTCAGGACATAAGAAGAGGAGCCCTGATGGGTCAGACCAAGTTCATGTAAGCCCAGACCTCTGTTTCCAACAGTGGCCAACCAAATCCCGCAAGCTCTGCCTACTAAGTTGTGAGCATATCCGTCACATATTGCCTGCTTTCAGACCTGCTAACATTTCACACCTTTCCTTCACAGGCCTCATTGCCATCCTAGACATTTATTTGATTTATATACTGCCCTCCCCCCAACTGAGGCTCAGGGCAGTCAACAAGTCACAAATATATTCTCATAAATTCTATGGTATGTACATACAAATAAAATTTAAAACAATAAAAACAGCAGCAATGACTAATCAGATGGCACTGAATATTCTGTTGGATATTCCACATTTTACTAGAGGGAGGAGGAGACGGGGAGGCCAGGTTTGATGGGAAACCGTTGCTGTCCTCAACCATAGGCCTGGTGGAACATCTCTGTCTTACAGGCCCAGCGAAACTGCATTAGGCTGTGCAGGGCCCGGATGTCATTAGGCAAAGAGTTCCACCAGGCCGGCTACAGGACTGAGAAAGCCCTGGCTCTGGAGGAAGTTCTTATCTTATGGGGTTGGATCCTGTGACTCTCCTTTCACTTAATTCAATACTATAACTGCCATCTATCAAGTCCTCCTTCAACCTTCCACCCTGACTTGGATAGCCCAGGCAAGCCAGATCTTGTCAGATCTCAGAAGCTAAGCAGGTTGACTCTGGCAAGTACCTAGATGGGAGAACTCCTTGAAATACCAGAGGTGGCAGGCTGGGGCAGGCTTTATTCAGCCACCTCTCTGAATATCCTCCGGGCCCCCGAAGTACGGGTCAGTCACCAGAGGTCACCATCATGCACGTGTGCACACAGACACGAAAAAATACAAAAAATACAACAAAGAAACGGACCTAGTGTCGTCCATGGCGGCGCTGGGACTCTCCCAATTTGTAACGACCCCCACCCACCGGGCCAGACACATGCTTGATCTGATCTTCGTGGCCGGGGTAACAATGCACCAGATTACTGCCTTGGCAGTACCATGGTTGGACCACCATGCCCTGAGGGCCCGTCTGAATGTCTCACTTCGACCCTGTTTAGGTGGTGAGCATATTTTAGCTTGCCCGTGAAGCCAAATGGACCCAATGCAGTTCCAGACAGCTCTGCAGGATCCGACGCCCTCTGGCGGCTCTTTGGACGAGGTTGTAGGGGATTGGCATAGCTGACTCTCCGCAGCTATCGACGAGATCGCTCCCCAGCACCCTCTGCACCCCCGCTCTAGGCTTGCCCCCTGGTTTATCCAGGAGTTGCGGCTTATGAAGTAAGGGTCAAGACAGCTAGAGAGACGGTGGCGGCATGTTTGCAACAAAGCTACAAGAGCATCTTATAGGGCGTTTATGAGATCCTAAGAGATGGTGGTCAAAGCCACAAAGAGGGAGTATTATGCGGCCATGATTGCACTTGTGAGCTCACGCCCAGCCCAATTATTTAGAACAATTCAGTTGTTAACTGTTTTGCCACCGGGCAAACTAAATTCTAGTGAATTGGATATTGGCTGTGAGGCTTTTGCGAGCTATTTCGCAGATAAAGTCCTGTTGCTCCACCGTGATCTTCCCGCCACAGTTGAAACAGTTTGTGAACTCAAGGCTCCATGCATGTCTTTAAGTCAGGTTATGGATCATTTCAGCCCACTCAGCCTTGAGGAAATTGATAAATTGCTCCTAGCTGTATGCCCCACCGCATGCTGCCTTGATCCATACCCATTGTGGCTAATTAAAGTTGCCCGCAAAAGGCTGCATGGCACCCTAAGGGAAATTGTTAACAAGTCCCTCACAGAGGGACTGTTTCCTGGGGTACTCAAAGAAGCGGTGGTGTGTCCTCTTCCTGAAGAAGCCATCTCTTGATCCAGCCGAATTGGCTATCGGCTGGTTTCCAATTTGCCCTATCTGGGCAAAATAATAGAGAGGGCTGTGGCAGAGCTTTTTAGATGACGCTTCCATTTTAGACCCCTTCCAGTCCGGTTTTCGCCCAGGACATGGGATGGAGACAGCACTGATCGCCCTCACAGACGATATCTGGAGGCATTTGGATCGGGGCAGTGTGGTGATGCTGTTGTTGTTAGACCTGTTGGCAGTGTTCGACCATCAGTTACTGACCCACCGCCTCACCGACACAGAGTTCAGGGGCTTGCCGTGCAATGGCTTATCTCCTTTCTCCATGGTCAGGGACAAAGGGTGGCATTAGGGGAACAGCTCTCCCAGAGGCACACACTAGAGTGCCCCAAGGGACGGTGCTACCCCCGATATTATTCAACATCTGCATGCACCCCCTTGCTCAGATTGCCCGGAGCTATGGGCTGGGATGTCACCAGTATGCGGACGACACCCAGCTCTATCTGACGTTGGTGGGCGACCAGGCTGACTTCAAACTGGAAGATCTGGACCGAACGTTACGAGCCGTGGCTGGTTGGCTTAGACTGAGCCAACTGAAACAGAATCTGACAAAGATGGAGGTCCTGTGCTTGAGTCAGGGCGGTCTGGGGGTAGGGATCCCACTCCTGACCTTCGATGGGGCGCCATTTGTGCCAGCGCCGGAGGTTAGGAGCTTGGGAGTGCTCTGGGATACCTTCTTAACAATGGAGGCCCAAGTAGCAGCCACTGCCCAGTCGGCCTTTTACCATCTTTGGCTATTAGGCAGCTGGTTCCCTTCCTCGAACGCGACTTTGCAACAGTGATCCGTGTGATGGTCACCTCGAGATTAGAGTACTGTAACACTCTCTACGTGGGGCTGCCCTTGTCACAAATCTGGAAGCTGCAGCTAGTGCAAAATGCTGTGGCCAGGCTTCTGATGCATCTCCCCATGAGGGAGCACATCCAGCCTGTCTTGAAGGTATTGCACTGGCTACCAATAGCATACCAGATTCACTTCATGGTGCTGGTTCTTACTTTTAAAGCCCCTTATGGCCAGGGTCCGACATACCTGAGGGACCGCCTTTCCCCATACATACTCCAGAGAGCACTGTGATCAGGGTCACAAATCTGACTGACCCTCCCAGGTCCCAAGGATGCCAGGCTGGCTGCAACCAAGGCAAGGATTTTCTTGGTGGCAGCTCCATACTGGTGGAACGAGCTCCCAGAGGAGATCAGGGCCCTGTGGGGCCTTTTACAGTTCTGCAGGGCAGGGCCTGCAAGACGGAGCTCTTCCACCACGCTTTCAATTAGGAGCCGCCACCACCACTATCACCACCAGTATTATCACCATCATTGCCTGGTGCATGGTTCATTAGTGTCAGCCTGTGCCCGCCGATTGGATATGAAAAGACCAATGAGCTGAATACTTAAACAGTCTATAAAATGTATATCACCATCCAGGGGTCATTTTGTAGAAAAAGAGGTGCAGGAGCTCATTAGCATAACCCATTTGCATATTCCACACACCCTGACATCACTGGAAGTGTGTCAGAAGGCAACACCCACCACTCAGGCTCCACTGGACTGTTTTGGATTGTTAGCTATTGGGGGGGCGGCGCAGATCTGTCCTCGCAGAGGAGGGAGAGCTTGTACCTGAAGGAGGGCCTGGGGGGGGGGGGGCTCTGCAACTTACCTGCCTGCTTCTTGCTTCTCGTGGGCCGACTGAGGGCTGCTGGGAGCAGGGGGCAGGGTTTCTTGCATGTGCCCGCCCCCTGGGCTCCTTAGCGCGGGAGCTCTGCTTCTGTGCATTCCCACAGGAAATGACCCCTGCCGCCATCTATATGATAGTAAAAACACTACTGCTAGCACTTTAATGTTGACATAATATGGTTTTAATGAATGGTTTTTAAAGTTTTATGATATTTGAATGTTATTATGTTTTATTTGTGTAAGCCGCCCTGAGCCTGCTGAGGCAGGGAGGCCGGGGTACAAATTTGAATAAATAAATAAGAAAGCTTCCAATGGAGAAGGACTTCTCCAATGGAGAAAGATCTCTTCCATCAGATGAAGCTTTTCTTGTTTGAAGAAAGTCTTAATGGAAGACAGTGATAAGATCCAACTCTTGGGAGTTCTCACTCCACTGATGGCTGATGAATAAAGCACAGCAGTGTGTTTTTCCTGAGGTCCCACCCAAGATCTGGGCCCACTAACCTCTGCATGTTGGTGGCACTCTTCAGTCTTCTCTGCTGCTTCTCCTACAGCACCCGGAGTTTTCAGCTGAGGTTTTACGTGATAGGCTTGCAACCTCTCCACCAGTTCTGCATTCTAGGGGAAAAGGAACAAGTGGAGAAGTGGGCAGAGCTAAGAAGAGGAGGAGGAGGAGACTTGATTTATACCCCACCTTTCACTACCCGAAGGAGTCTCACAGTGGCTTATAATCCCTTCCCCTTCCCCTCCCCACAACAAACACCCTGTGAGTAGGTGGAGCTGAGAGAGCTCTCTCAAGAACTGCCCTTGAGAGAACAGCTCTGAAAGAACTTACGACTAACCCAAGGTCACACCAGCAGCTGCATGTGGAGAAGCGGGGAATCAAACCCAGTTCTCCCAGATTAGAGTCCCCACTCTTAACCACTACACCAAACTGGCTCTCACCCTGTGCTTAAGACTGTCTTTCCTCATCTGACTCTTTGAAAGATTAAAACACTGAAGTATGGCAGAACTTCTGTGATCATTCTCTGAAGTTGTATATTTGCACATAGCAGGAAGGAGTGCCTACATTTGCTTCAGAAGAGGCAAAAACAATAACTTTCCTACCCAAAGTGGAAAGCAGTGCTTCCTTCATCCCTATTCAATGTAAAGATTTAGTCAAATGGAAATTTGGGATTGGGAAAGTCCATATTCCATAGAGAAGTAAAGATGGGAAAGTGCACCCTGATTTTTACCTAACCACCTTCTCTCACCTTTCCTGTGGCACGAAGGCCCAACTCCTTGCAGCAGTGTTGCAACTCTGACCTCTTCAAGGCTTTGTAATTGATGGAGGTATTTCCATTGACTGGGGAGTTTGGTTTTGGCCTGACCTGTGACTTTGGCTGAGGTGGGGCAGCCGGCCGAGGTGTGGCAGTGGGTTTGCTTTGTCTGCGGCTTTGACGAGGCATTCTAGGGACCCTAGAACAAAAAGTGGAAGGGAGAGATCTGGTTTGGCAAAGACATCTTTCATTCCCATCTGAGATAACTGGTCATCCCAAGGTAGCCATACCCTTTGCTTTTAAGGAGTTTAATTGGGTGCCAATGACATCATACGCTTACGATCTTGTGGAACAGCAAGATTGACTAAATCGATTGACATAGTACATCCAAAACATGTTCTCCGATTGTGTCACCTGGTCCCTCTCTCTTACAAAGAGGAGCAAATAAAGAAACAGAGGTGCTCCCACCATTTGTAGTACAGATCAGCTTGCTATCTTCTTTGCCCCCCTCTCAAAAGTCCTTCTAACTAGGTTTCCATTAGAGTTTGCTAGATTATTCATCAGAACATTCTGTATTGCAGAACACGCTTCAGTCAGCACCATCTACAGTTCAGCAACAGTCGCTTCAACAAACGGCACCTCCGCTATGCTGCCTGAGAATACTTAAACTCATAGCACTTAATTTATGAAAGACACTTTGGGTCCCTTTGGAGAAAATGGCACAGAAATGCCTAAATATAACAATACTTACTGACTTCTCCTGCACTTGGAAGAGAACTGGGAGGATGTTTTTAAAATGACAAGTCTAAAAGTAACTTGCCAGGTGGCTCCACCACTTCCAGTAAGAAGAACTGCAAGACATTATTAGAGAGACATCCATTTCCTGTTGGGAGTGAATACAATGGGAATCTTGTGGAACCTTAAAGATTAATGTTGTTTTTCTTCTTCAACCCACCCTTTTCCCAAGGACCTCAGGGTAGCATACATAGCCCCCCCCCCTTGTCCTTACAGCAACTGGGCAAGCAGGTTCAAGGTCACTCAATGAGTTTCATGGCAGAGTGGAGATCTGAACACAAGACCACTTTCAAACAGGCTTTTTGCCTCGGTTCGGCTTCTAAAGAGTAGTTGAGCTTTTTTGTTCCTTTCTCATGCTAATTGTCTAACCTCTTTTCCTTCTATGTGCTCCCCCTTTTTTCTGTTTTCCAACTTTTGAAGTGCCAGGCTCCACATCTTCTCCAGCAATGCTGGGGATGATGCATAAATATGTTGTAATCCAGGTTGTGGATTACAGGCGAGGGAACGTCACACGCGAGAGGTCATTTTGGCTCCCCCAGCTCTCCTTAGGGGCTCATTAAAAAGTTATGGCCGCCGCCTCTGTCGGCTGCAGCTGCAACAGCCGTGGGGGGGAGGGGCGAAACGTTCCCTTGCCTCCCTGAGCCCCGGGGTGGTGGCCTTGGACTCCTAGGGGCAAATTCCACCTCTCGCGTGTGATGTCATTCTGGCTCCCCCAGCTCTCCTTAGGGGCTCTTTAAAAAGTTATGGCCACTGCCACTGTTGGCATCAGCTGCAACGGCTGTGGGGGAGGGGCGAAACCTTCCCTCGCCTCCCTGAGCCCCGGGGTGGTGGCCTTGGACTCCTTGGGGCAAATTCCACCTCTCACGTGTGATCACGAGCGGCATCACACGTGAAAGGTCATTCTGGCTCCCCCAGCTCTCCTTAAAGGTAAAGGTTCCCTTGCTCGAAAGCCAGTCGAATCCAACTCTAGGGTTGCGGTGCTCATCTCCGTTTCAAAGCCGAAGAGCTTAAAAAAGTTATGGCCACTGCCGCTGTGGGCGGCAGCTGCAACGGCCGCGGGGGGAGGGGCGAAACATTCCCTCCCTCCCTGAGCCCCGGGATGGTGGCCTTAGACTCCTAGGGGCAAATTCCACCTCTCGCATGTGATGTTCGAGCATGCGAGAGGTCATTCTGGCTCCCCCAGCTCTCCTTAGGGGCTCTTTAAAAATGTATGGCCGTCGCCGCTGTTTCGCGCCCCCCTCCCACAGCCATTGCAGCTGCCGCCACCAGCATCAGCGGCCATAACTTTTTAAAGAGCCCATAACGAGAGCTGGGGGAGCCGGAATGACCTTTGGGCAATATTGCCTATGGGCAATCATGGATTCCTTGTTGGCAATTATGTCCCTATGAGCAATCATGGATTCTCTATTGGCATTATGGATTCTCTATTGGCAATTATGTACTCCATTATCCCCTATGGGCAAGAGTCCTCACCATTATTCCCTATGGGTAGTCATGGATTCTCTATTGGCAATTATGTACTGCACTATCCCCTCTGGGCAAGCCTACTCTCCATTATTCTCTATGGGCACTCATGTATTCCCTATGGGCAATTGCTGTCCTTAGTAGTTTTAGTACATACCCCAGGCTCACCAAGTGGAAGAAAATTATATTTTCCGGGGGGGGGGGATAGCACTGAGCAAGAATTAGCTCAAATACAATGGCAAAAAGAAGCTCCAGTTAGCCACACTGGTCCAAAGTAAAAGAAAGTCCCCAAACAGAATACATTTTCCCAATCCACAGCCACAGAAAAGTTTGCAAAGCAGACTTTCAGCCTTCAGTTGTATCAGTCTTTCGCCATTATAAAATGAGACTCCTCTGCAGTCGGGAACACTAATTTAGTAGCATAGAGCCAAACAGATGGCGGCGGGGAGGGGTAGCATAGGGTTGCCAACATCCACGTGGTGTCTGGGGATTTCCTGGAATTACAACTGGTCTCCAACCGACAGATATCAGTTTCCTTATAGAAAATGACTTTTGACGTTGGTATTTATAGAATTATACCCTGGCTGAAGTTCCCCTCCACCCCAAAATCTCCAGGAATTTCCTAACGACCCAGCCCAGAGCTGGCAATCGTAACCTCAAACCCGCTTAGGAAAAGTGGCAAAGAAATTTTGTCCCACGTTTAAAGTCTAAGCTGGTTAATAACTCTCAGCGTCAAGCAGCAAATTAGAAGAAAAGGAGACGTAGAAAACGATACGGGGAAAGCCACGTTAACCCACCTCTACACGGCCATTCACAGACTTCCAAGAGCCATTCAAATCGTGCGCGCTCCCTTGCTCAGCTGATATACAGCCTCTTCCAACTCACGCCCACTTCGCTGTGCCTGGTTGTGCGCCTGCGCGGGCCGGTCTCTCGTCCCGATTTGTGTGGGGGAAGGAGGGAAGATGGCGGCGCCCATTTGGTTAGTGGGGAGGCGGGAATGAGAGGTCTTTCACCCGCGTGTGCCGGTATGCGCTCGTTTTCTCTCTGAGTTCTCGCTCGGTCACTGTCTCTGCTTGCCTGCTGCACGCTTTATTTCCACATCCACCGTAAATCTCCATTGCAGTATCCCCCTCCCCTTTTTTACAGAATACGTGAATAAAAGTGTGCGCAGAGTTGCAGACTTACTTGGGAGTAAGCGCTGTTTAACTCATTGGCGTTATCTTCTGGTGTAGGATCGGCGAAAGTGTGAGATTTATGCCTTCCTGTGCTGGCCAACTCCCCTGTAATGTGGGGGTCCAGCCAGGTCTGAATGCTGTTACTGTTATTCACTATTAAAAGCCAATATTATCTTTGTCAGACTAAAGATTTTCATTGTAATTGTGGTTTATAAAGAGTGTTGCTGATTAGTATGAAGTTAAAATTACTTTGTTCTTTCAGAACTGCTCTGCTACCATCTGCGGCAGAATGTGGTTTATCTGTCATCGATTCCTTGCTTGCCCCTCATGTTGGCAAAATCAGTGTAACCGAGCCCTGGGCCCAGTTACATGGCAGAAGAGGCCAGTTCCAAGAGGCACCCGATCTATTTATAGTGAAACAGGAAAATGGGAAAAAAAGTATGGACTGGAAACCAGAAACAAAGTAGAACGATGGTGGTTTACAAGAATAAAGGAACAGTTCAATACAACCGGAGGAATAGATGTAAGTGTGATGTCAGCACTGAAAATATACAACTGCCTCTCTTTTTCTCTCTCTGCTAGCTGTCCTGGAAGCATCAGCAATGTACAGTATTTATCAAACTTTCTGACTGCCCTGAATGCTAGGTTTCTTATGCTTTCCCACCCTGATATTTTTGGGTATATTTGCACAAATTCTAAAACATCCTTCTATTGCCAGTTGCTGTCTCTTACATCCTTTTCTGGTCTAAAATAAATTGGTCGGCAGATGTCAGGATTGGTATACCTGCTCCTTCCTTCAGCAAGACCAGTGGATTATGAAATACACTTTTTGGGTAACCCTACACTGTAACTATTTATATATTCTATTTATTTAGACATTTGTATCTATACATTTTGCTCCTGCCAACCTAGCAGTTCGAAAGCAAGAAATTGCAAGTAGATAAATAGGTACCACTTCGGTGGGAAGGTAACAACGTTCCGTGCGCCTTGGTGTTTAGTCATGCCGGCTACATGACCACGGAAATGTCTTCGGACAGCGCTGGCTCTTCGGCTTTGAAACGGAGATGAGCACCGCAACCCTAGAATCGGATTCGACTGGCTTTCGAGCAAGGGAACCTTTACCTTTATCTATACATTTACATCTCACCTTTCTACTTGGTTCAAGGCAGTTTACAACAATAATTAAAACATCCCCAGCTAAAATCAAAGATAAAAAAGCCCCCAGTCCCTCCCCTCTCCCCCTTAAAAGATGCCTGCTATTCAAACCCCATCAAAAGCTCCAGCAAACCAGTAGACCTTGTAGTGCCTTCTGAATCTCTCCAAGGAGGGGCCCCCCTCTCATCTCTTCAGGGAGCCCATTCCACAGAGTTGATGGAAAAGGTCTGGGCTGTGGTTGATGCCAGACAGGCCACCCTAAGTGATGGAATAGCCAACAGATGGTTGCCGGATGACTATAGTTAGCACACATGAACATATGGAAAGAAATGCTGCTCACATATGTGGGTCCTACGTTGTGAAGGGCTTTAAATGACATAATCAGCATCTTGAATTGAACTTGGAAACAGACTGGCAGCCAATGAAGCTGTTTCAAAATGGGTAACATATATTCCCTGTGGCTAGCCCCTGACTGCAGTGAGGCTGCCATATTCTGGACCAGCTGTAGTTTCTGGTGGTCTTCAAGAACAGCCCCAAGGTAGAGCTCATTGCAGTAATCCAACCATGAGGTTACAGAAGCTCAGCATGGCCAGATCAGCTGGGTCTAGGTAACTGAGAAAATTTGCAGATCACATGCAGCCAATAAAAAGCGCTTCTGACCACCATTCTAACCTATTTTTCAAACAGCAAAGCAGGGGCCCTGGGCACTCTCAGGCTCTTAACCAGCTCTGAAAAGCCAGTTACTCCATCTACGATGTGGATTTAGTCTGTGGAATATCAGCCTTTCCAGCCAGCATTTTCTCTGCCTGGAATGGATTCAGCTTTAGTCTGTGGGCCTATTATCAGTTCATGAGCTTCTTGACAATTAGATGTGACTGTGATACTTGAGGTGTTGATGATTTTGACTGTGATTCTTGCATGAATGTTGTATGTGTCCTGGAAATTAGTGTTATTTTTAATTGTTATATCTCTGAGCTGATTCCATGAAGATTAGGCCCTTGATTTGGCAAGATTTTTCTCTGTGTGTATTGTCCTGTGATTAGAAGAATATGAAAGCAGTGGAGAGTTAGAAGAACTTGGAAGTCCTTACTTAAGTTACCACTGTTTTTTCTGGCAATTCTCTGTGGCTTTAACAGCTGTAAAGCAAGCAGAAATTCCTTTGGTAGAGCTTTATTTGCCGTTGTATGTCTGTGCAGGGAAAAAACTTTTTGATTTCTGCTTTTCGCAGGAGTCCTATCAGGAAAAATGTTGGCATCCTGTATGATATTTTCTTCAGAGTAAGGAGCAGTTAGGATTAGGAAGAGCTTCAGGAGATAGTGATTTGGACAACACGTCTATATTGGCAACAGGATGTCTGTCTTGATATTTACAGTGAAATGACTGTTAAAGCAGTTGTTTGTGTCATACTTAACCATCAACTCAGGAAAGCTATTAGCAAAGCCTTCAGAAACATTGGAGAGTCCCAGAAAACAAGCAAGTTACTGATTTCTTACTTTTTTATGATGGCCACTTGAATGTCTGTGTGAAACTGGCCTGGGGGGTGGGCGGGAAGCAGAATAGATGGTACTTTGCTGAGGATTTTCACTTTATTCTGGGTTCACACTTGAGGATGAGTCTCAAAACCAGCAATCTTGGAAAAAAAACCAATCAGAGTTTTAAATAGGGCCATTAACTAATTAAATTAATCATGTATAACCTTAATACAGAAAAATGTATTACGTATAAATATATTTCCATCTTATTACATATTTTAAGTGCTTTTTTCTGATAATGAAGAAGTCAATATCGTTCAGTAAACTCATTTGAGGGAAGACATAAAGTCATATCGTTCAGTAAACTCATTTGAGGGAAAGGTTGTATTTGGTATTTTTGTGGGCTTTTTCTGTTATACTTGACCCAAAGTAATCTCAAAAAGAAAAGCAGGTGTGACCTTAACTGTCAGCCTCAGTTGTTAAACTTGCAGCTCTACTTTTAAGATGAGCAATAAGAGAAAACTTTGGTGTGACTTTTAAAAAATATGAAATGCATTAAGTAATTTTTGTTAAATAGCTTTTCTTGGTTGCATCCTACAAACGGTAATCATGAAGATGCCACTGAAGGAACTCCAGTTTTGTTTTACCATTACAGACAAACAAGGCTACCCATCTGGAACCTACAAACATTTTTGTTTTTGTTTGTTTAGAAATCAAGACCAAAGTTTTATGTTCTCTCGATGTTCCCATATCCCTCTGGGAAGCTTCACATGGGCCATGTTCGAGTGTACACCATCAGTGATGCCATCACGTGGTTTCACAGGATGAGAGGATTGCAGGTATCTGTTCAGAAACTGCTTTGGGCTTATTAAAAGGGAGGGGGATGGTTTCTGCTGCTTTAGAAAACAGAAGGCAAAAATGATGAAAGTAGAAAGTAGAAGGCAACAATTTCCCTTTCCATTCTGTTCCTGAAGTTCCTTTGTAATAAAATACCTACAATTGAGGTTATCCATTGAATGTCCTGGAAGGTTAAAGTGTCCAGATCTGACATCAGGAATCACAAGATTGAGAAACCTGCAAGAAAAAGGGAAATTTCTGAATTACAAGTCATTATGACACTTGGAACAAAAACCTCCCCAGGACTCAACAGGAATATTGGATTTTTATCCCATTACATATGCTAACTCATTCAGTCCTCACATATGTATTCTCAACAAGGACTATTAACCATCTGTATTTCAATGTATTTCTTTTTCAGAATAGTATATTAGAATACAGAATGGATGTCTGCTGACAACATTACATCCAGCTCAAAATATACTGTTGTGCCCTCCACAAAGCCCCTATGCCTGAGATGAGATGATTAAGATTCTGTTTCTTCCCAAAATTAGAAAAAAACACCTTTAGACATTCATCTGCTATTTTGACATATTTATTGCTTTACAACTGTTGACCTTATAACCTTAACTTGTTATTTAGTTTTTCACTTTGCATAACTTAAACATCATCAGGTTACATGTTAGTTTGCTGTTAAATCCCTGTCTGTAAGTTTAGAACCTCATCTACCATTCCAATGTATTTAAAAAAATGTTCCTTGCACACAAAAGCTCATACCTTTAATAAACCTTTGTTGGTCTTAAAGGTGCCACTGGACTCTAAACTGCTTCAGACCGACACGGCTGACTACCTGGATAAATTGTGAAGCCTAGACTGAAGGGGACACACCTCTGGCCAGCTATCTTGTAGAAGTGCTCTGCTCCCCTCCAAGCCCCGTCTTCTTCAGGCTCACATTCCCTCTCTCTTGTTCCATTTACTACCCTTCATTTTCCTAAGGGTAGCATTCTTAAGTGCAGTCCTATGTAGAGTTACTCCAGTCTAGGGCCATTCCTCGCTTCATTTCTCTTGAGACTTCCATACACACAACCGGGGCTTTTCTACTGTTTAAGCAGCAATTGAAATTGAATATTGTTATATCAGTCTGGGAATCAGGTTCTCTGAATTACCAGCTTTCATTTTTTAAAAAGTAAGTCTCCAGCCTCTCTCATTGATGAGATATGCTTTTCTCTTTATATCTCTGCTATGAAAGTGGCTAGAGACTTAATTTAGAAAATGAAATATGAGAATTCAGATAACTTGATACACTATTTATAATGATATTCAGTAGCTGATTAGGAGGGCCTGGCGTGATCTGGTCCATGGGGTCGCGAAGAGTCGGACTCGACTGTGCGACTGAACAACAACAGCTGATTAAAAACAAACCAAAATGCTCCCCAAGTAGCAAGGGTAGGAAACGGCTGCCATAAAGTTGGGTCCAGGAAAATGGAAACTTTCATATGCCCTTTGTTAGCCATCTTGGTTATGCTTTGATCTTTCCTAAAATGTAGCATTAGAGCAAGTTTCAGAAAGGTTAGAAGAAAACCTGGGGAGCCCAACGAGATGACATGACTGCACCATGATGCTGTAGGGAAGCAGGAAAAAACCCCTCCTTCCCAACACCATGGAACCCAGGGCAGATAACCCATGTGGAAATGGCCTAGAACATTCTCTTTCCTTTCATGTTGGACTTCTGTTGCAGGGATGTTTCCTTTTCTGAGCCCTGGAGGCTTTGTACCTGTCAAAATAGGATTCTTTCTGTATTCTGTACTTCTGTTATTGCTGTGATAGCCATACAAAATGTACTTACTTGAACTTGCTCGAACTTGACAGACAGTAATGGTGAAGAACCCCTCCCCTACCCCATTGTTTGCACTGTTTGTGAATTAAAAAAAAAATATTAAATGTAGTATTCCTTCAGTGGGTGTGTGGCACAAATAGAACACTTGTGAGCACTCCTCTATTCTTTCTCACAGTCCATGATAATAAGATACTGTGCTCTTGGTTATGGACCTCCGCTTGCAAGAGTATTTCACCAAGCTATGGATGGAGTACACTTTTTTTTTTAATCATGCAGAGATGAAAAATGTGTATTCCTGTGTGCTGTCAGCGAATTTCATAACCCTGCAGTTACAGGAAAGCTATAGTTAAGGTATGCTCTCTTTCTTTCAGTTTAGTAGTTAAAAGTCCTTAAAGCTAATAGAGAGCTTTAAGGGACTGGCATCCACATGAGGCCATAAGAATGACACTCTTCTCCTCTGCGACCTTCTAGAGCATCTCTTTTGAATATGGTTGTCGAAAAGCATTCTTGCTGTGGTGATCGATCGGGTCCTGTTGTCTGTAGCTAAGCTGTTAAGTGAACTTAGGAGCCCAAGATAGATCCAGGTGGGCAGCCGTGTTGATCTGAAGCAGTAGAACAAAGTTGGAGCACAGTGGCACAAGAACAGCCCTGCTGGGTCAGATCAATGGTCCTGCTTGGCACAGCGGCTGGAAGCCAGTCCCTAATCTGAAGCAGAAGTTTTTGCACACTACTGAAGGGGCGTGTTGATGCTTTCTGCACGGACAGATGCAAGGCAAGTGAAAGATGCAAATAGAGTAGATGTTCTTACTTTGATTTCTGCTTCCCTGGAAGATGCTGTGAGTTGCAGGAGCGAAGCACGGTGATTCACATGCTGAGTGGACTAGTGGGAGTATCCATATGCTTTCTTCTTATTTTTTTCTCCTCCTCCCCTTTATGAATTAGGAGAAACACTATACGGATTTGTGATTCTAGCATTAACACGCACTGTTGTTTCTTTCCTTAGCATCCCTCTAGTTCTATTTGCATTTAATCTCCTTGAATACTGTGTTACCTTTGAAAACTAGCCCACTACAAGTTCATTAAAGTGCTTTTTACAGGACCTTTAACATGCATTCACAGTCCAAAGCCAAGAAAGAATGCATCCGAAATCATTTTGTTTTTTTAAATGTAGTTTGAAGGCTACATTAGTCTCCATGGGAACAGATAAATACATCGGCTTCAGAGATTAATCTATGGATAATTGACGATGGGCTGGAAATGATTTTTCCCCCAGCTGTATTTTGCACAATGTGTTTGTCTCTACGGTAACCGTTAAGTACATCTGCTGCAGAGACTGATGAATATTACCTCTTACACTGATGTTTGTGGGATCTAACTCGGAGTGCAGAGGTTATGCATTGCATCCAGAGTAAATTTTCTGATAACAGAAGGGTTGGGGTCATTTCCACCAAGTCCCTCTTATTTTCGCAGACCCCAGATTTGCCCCTCACCTTGTCCTTGGGAGTCCCCTGGAGCAGTTCTTTGGGGAGATCAGTGGGGGGAGGGAGGCAGGAATATTCAGTTCCTTTTCTTTTATTCCTTCAGAAGCTCATTGATTCAGAAATCTTGAGCAGTGGAAAATACTAATTCCTTATTTTTTGCCTGAAAGGGCTAAAAGGACTGAGGCATATTTTGCAATTCCGAAGGTAAATTTAGGATCCAACATTCAGTTCCACTGACAGAAATGCCTTGCGTGAGTTGAAAAGTTACATCTCGATCCAGCTTTATGAGAGTCCACAAATCAGAGGCTCTGCTTACAACTTGACCATTTTTGTTGCTGCTGTTCACCATGTGCAGGAACTTGGGAACAGGCCCATAACTAGGGTGGTCTTTTGGGGGCTCCACCCCCTTTCTTAAAGGCACAGTCCCACAAGAAATTCTTCTGTAAATGCTTTTTTCCCATCATTTAAAAACATTTTTTAAAGGCATGCTCTCCTTTAAGCAGAGTGGGGTGCTGTGGTTGACTAATTCCTGCACTGAGCAAGGGGGTTGGGAGTGGGTGACATTTAGGATCCCTTATAACTCTGTGTCAAGAAATTGGTCTCCTTTAAGAGAGTTTTTCTGCCTAAGTGTTAGCTTTCTTGACTATAGAAGGCATCACCCCCACCTGCCGGCTTGTTATCAGAATTGTTGCTTAGACTGGCAGAAATTATTAACATGCAGCAGCTGAGAACTGTCATCTAAAGTGGTTGACAGCTTGCAGTTCAGAGATCTATCCTTGTAACAATTTTCTATTGGCTAAATGGTTAAGAACACCTATGCAGAATAGACAGCTTGAGAAGACTCAAAGAGAGAAGAGACTGTCTTGAAGCTCTCTTCAACTTCTACCCTGCTGCTTTGCTTCTAGAGACTCTGCTCATCAAGGAATGCCAGTTGAGATGCCAGAGCTACAGGCCTGATAGGAAAAGTTAGTGAGTAGAATAGCCAACTAGGTTTTTTGTTTTGGTTTGCATTCCTTGCTGAATTATATACATTCTTTCCCCTATCTATGTGTTGTTTGTCCTTCATTTTTGTAAATAAAGTTTTATGTGTTTTTATACAAATTGGAGAGAGTTTACTGGCCAAAACCAGATAAGTATTCCAGTGCCATGCCTACTAGAAAATTTATTCTCCCCCCCCCCCCTTCTCACCTCCTGTTGTCACACTCTGGGGCTAAGATTTGCAGACACCTCTATGCTTTGATTTTAAAAGGCTTGATTCCACAGTAGCTGAGTCATAATCTTCAGAATTCTGGCTTTTCTTTCTGCACTGAGAACTTCAGCCCCTCCAGAAAAAAAATTGTCCCACAATCCACAAAATCCTGGCTACAGGCCTGCTTGGGAAAGAAGAAGAATTTTCTCTGTCCTTGCACTGGGAGGTTCCATGATCCATAGGTTTTCTGTGTGTGCTAACAGCTTAGGGGAAGAAGCTCTTTGTGTTGGTCAAATGGGACATGAGAAGTTGTGCTCTCCAAAGACAGAAGGGTTCTTACAAGCAAGGCGTGACTTTGTTTATGGGCTCCTGATTATAAGACAGCATAGAGTTTGAAGTTGTCTGTTTACTGACTCCTGCACTGCTGTATAAACCGTGATTGTTCCTGGATTGGAGCCAGACTTAAGTGGCGATTTCTATCAATTCCCCCCCCCGCAAACCCCCCTCATATCACTCCTCAGGGTCCCCCGTTACCCAGGACCAGCATTTTGTGGAGATCACTAGGCTGCCCTGTGATGGAGGAGGAAGAAAAATTCCAGTCTGCCATGGGAAAATTTAGTCCAGGTCCAAACCATTAATTAGTACATTTTTATCCCACCCTTCCTCCAAAGAGTCAATGTTCCCTCTAAGCTGTGGAGGAGTCTTGTGAGCAAAATTTCTGCTTGTGAACTAATGGCATTAAAGTTGTGGGTGAGCGATTTGGCTACTGCATAAATTAGTTTGCTCTGGAGCCATCCTTCCTGAGCCAAGACGAAAATGTGTGAGCCGGAGGCTAAAAAACTGTGAGCTAGCTCACACTAATTCAGCTTAGAGGGAACACTGCTCAGGGTAGCGTATATTGTTATCCTGCCCTCCATTTATCCTCACAACAGCCTTGTGTGGTAGGTCAGGCTGAGAGACAGTGGTTAGCTTGAGACCACCCAGCAAGGTTTATGGTAGACTAGAAATAAGGCCCGTTGTGGAAATAAATACAACGGGATCTAGAAAGAGGCTCTGGGAGAGTGCTCTGGCTTTGGGCAAACAGTGTCAGTCTGCTTTTAAAACATGAACCTGGGACCTGCACACCACCAGAATACAGCAGATTCCATATGCAACTGACATTCCAACTGCTAACAACTAAGGGAGTGCATTTTAGAATTAGAACTTTGGCACCCACTATTCAATTATATATAAAGGAGAGATTGGGAATCTGAACTCAGTACTCCTGGATCCTCTAACCACTAAAGTATATTAGCTCTCATGTAAAGTCATGAAATGGGAAGGAACAGGGTGTCAGCAAACTGGTATCAGACTTAAAGCATCTTATTGGAATATGCTGAAATATGATTGTGAGTAATCTGATTGTGAATAGACCAATAATATATGGTAGTAATTCCACATTGGCTTAAACCCAGGCCCTCAACCCCTGCAGGTGCTGCCATCTTTGAGAAATGTTATTATCCACTTTTACGGCAGAGGTGCATTGTGTAGAAAAGATCCTGTGACAGATGATAATTCTAGAGTGGTAGCCATATTCATCTGAGCAGCAAAAAGTTAATGGACCCACTGCCACCATTAAGACTGAAGGTTTCATTCTGGTATGAGTTTCCATGGACTAGAACAAAGTTAGAGTCCAGTGGCACCCTTAAGACCAGTTTTATTCAAGGTGTGAGCTGGAATTACAGATCACAGTTATACATATAGGGGGCGAGTAGTTAAATTAGCAACAAAATAATGAAGATGTTTTTTAACATAAAAAGAATGACAAGCTTGGTGTCTGGTTGTCATCCATTTGGGTTCAACTAGGGGGGGGGAATAACACAGGTGATATGTCAGAATTGGAGACTGAAGTACCCTTAATTGTGAGAATCCCGCCATTAGTTCCCCTCCATCTCCTTTCTAGCATAGAGGCAAACTTTACAGCATTTTTTTCTTTGAAGTGAAGCATAGCTGTGTAAAGTATTTTTCTTGTCCCCAGAAAAGAGAATTACATTTAAATCTACCACACCAAATTACATTATCTATTCATTTATATTCTTAATTGTTAAGAGTAGTAAACTGAGATTTTCAAAAAAAAGTAACATTTTGGTTCTCTACAACATGGAGTTAACTGACAGAATCCTTTTCTTGAGGTGCATGTAGTGGGTCCTTCCTGTTTTTCTTTTCCTGGCCCCATAGATGTGTGCACTGGATGGCCCAGACCAGGCAGGAACTAAGCAGGGTCAGTCCTGGTTAGTATTTGGATGGGAGATCACCAAGGGAAGTCCAGAGTCACTATGCAGAGGCAGGCAGTGACAAACCACCTCTGTTCATCTCTTACTTTGAAAACTTTACAGGGTCACTGTAACTTGGATGTGATTTGGTGGCACTTTACGTACACACATGCACATACGTAAGTCGGCTGCAGTTCATGAATGTTTATGCTGGAATAAAAACTTGCTGGTCTGTACAGTGCCACAAAACTCCATTTTGTTTGGGCATGTTGAGTTAGTATTTCCCTTGGAATATGTAAGCAGTGTTAGAAACAGCTGGACAAAGAGCTCCAATAAAGTCCAAGTCATCCAATAAAACTAAAAATAAATGTCACTAGGAGAGTGGTGATATGCCCTTTCGTATGTATATGCCTTTAGTAGCCCTCTGTCCATTCGGGTCTTGTGTAGAACACTTAATAAAAGCATGGACTGTGATCTGGGAAATTGCTAGTTCAAATCCTGGTTGGGCTGGGTGACCTTAGGCAACTGCTCCCTCTTAGCTTCTGCGCCGCCACCTGCAATGGGGGGATAAGAATTCTTACAGGTAAATTGTTCAGACTGCAACAACGTGATGCATATTGCACTTTGAACACTGAGGGCGGCATATAAGTGTAGAGTGTTACATCAAAGCTCGTTAGTAATGTGTGTTAGTTTTACATCAAAGGATGTTTTCTTCGGATTCAGAAACATTTCACCAGTGTTTACCTGCATGTGGGGTTCATGGACCACGCTTATTTATCTTTGATAAAGCTAGGGATTAGTTCCTGCTGTTAGTCATTTGAAAATTGAGCAATTCTGGTTACTGAGCATAGCTTATGTCTGTAAGAAATCTGTGGTTCTTGTCAAATGTCTGTTGCTACAGTATACTAAGGAGCTGCGGTGGCTCAAGTGGTTAAGACGCTGAACTGCAGGCTGTGGAAGGTCGGTAGTTCAGCAGTTCGAGACCCGGGTGCCGCATGACGGAGTGAGCTCCCGTCTCTAATTCCAGCTCCTGCCAACCTAGCAGTTCGAAAGCAAGAAATTACAAGTAGATAAATAGGTACCACTTCGGTGGGAAGGTGACAGCCTTGGTGTTTAGTCACGCCGGCCACATGACCACAGAAATGTCTTCGGACAGCACTGGCTCGTCAGCTTTGAAACAGTGATGAGCACCACAACTCTAGAGTCGGATTCGACTGGCTTTCGAGCAAGGGAACCTTTACCTTAAGTATGTAGAATTTGCAGAGGTGGGGAGAAATGGTTCTGGTGCTTTGCCTTAACTCATTTGTGTAAGATATACGAAGATATTCTACATTGGTTTTGCGTAGCTAATGCAGTTTGCAAAATTGCATTTTTTCTGTTTTTCATTTTAAAAATTATTTCTATTCAAAACAGTTTTCATTGCTCCAGATTCTCTACTGACCCTTTACATAAAGGACATTATTATAGAATTTCATCAGCATGTCTGAATAACACACCATCAGCATATTCTTCTGTCTTTGCAAGCTGAATGTTTCTTCAGCCATCGACAGAGACAGTCTGTCAATAGCTTTAGAAACAGACAGAAGAATATGCTCCATAATCTTCTTCGTTTGGTAGTCCCAGGGTTCACTTTCCAGAAGAAAAGGATTCTGGGGCTTTTGTATCTAGAAACATTTTCTGAAGCTCAAATCTCTTTGGGTAGAGACTCCTCCCCACTAGAGATGTAAAATTTCCGGAAATTTTTTTTCCGTTTTTTTCCGGGGGAAAACGGAAATTTTCGGAAAAATTGAAAAAAATGCTACATTAGCATTTCTTTTGTCTTTTCTAGATTGAAAGTCATTCTGTTACTTTAGGAACATAAAATATGACTATGGACATTTTTACTTGGCATGAAATGATCATAACTAGCATATTAAAAATATAGTGTATCCAAACAATTATTACAAACAGAATACCCACCCACATGCAAAAACAAAACTGAAACCTTTTTATTTTCTTCTGACAATAGCACCTCCTAAAGGAAGAAATGCATCTTGTTCTTGCATTGGAGAGTTCAGTTTGTAACCTAGGACTGGCTTGTCCTCAGTGCACAGAAATTAGATCAATCTGATACCATATATATATATAT